CCCTTTCTTAAAAATTACAATGGAATTTCAATGAAAAAGATTTTTAAATAGTATACCTCATATTGTAAACTTTTAAAAACGTTGTAAATAGTGGTAATGTAAATAAAATAAACCTAATGATCACTTCCTGAAAAATCACAAGTAAATACAATTCCTACAGACAAGATATTTACATACAAATTAATTATAATAGCATAAACAGATAGAAAGCACTTGCTTAATTATTGTTAATTCTCAGCTGAGTGTGCTTAAATGAAAATCTATTTTTCAATTTGTTCTAGGAAATTTGTCAATTTAGGCATTTGTAGGAAACTTTTGCTTTTAAAGCAAGAACACTCTTCAAACAAGAATATCTCCTTCGTATAATCAATTTTACTCCACATCTAAGCCTCTGATTAATATGGAGTGAAATATTTTATACTCATGAAAATGTAAAGCAACAGCAAAATTTTCAGCCTAAATATCTAAGGTGTAAATACTCCTAGACTCTATCAAGGATGGCATAGGAAAAGATTACTTGAGGTTAAAATGCCTCCTTAGCAACCAAAATTGCTGAGACTTTACTAACACATATAAGTATTGCATATCTTAGAAATATGATATTTCAACAATAGTTTCAGAAGAAACAAATGAGGAAAATATTAAATTCGAGAATTCCTGTTGAATTTTCTAATAAGATTAGCAATATGTTCAGTATTTGTGTGATAAGTGATGTAAGAACAATTTTATCCAATTAGTATAATCTGTAACTATCTGTATCTCATCAATACATTAACATTGCATATTATTAAGTCAGAGGTCAATGTGGTTTTTATACAAAGGGCTAGATAATACAGAATACTTTATAGATACCTACAAAATAAAATAAATCCAAGTCTAATAAAGTTGTATCAATCAAATTCACAATGCAGTAATATTTTTTACAAATTTTGCTCATATCATTGTATAAACAAGATGAATGGGCTAAAATTTGAATTTCAAATCATCATTTTTGTGCCATGAGGAATTCTTTTTATTTTTATTTTTTCAGATAAAGATTAAAACACACACACACACACACACACACACACACACACACACACACTGTCAGTTCACAGACTATTCAAAAATGGGCATCAGGCCAGATTTTACTTATGGGCCATAGTTGCCAATCTCTGGGTTAAATATTACATTATCTTACCAATGACCTTACAGGATTCTATTAATGTATTTTCATTAAAGAAATCGATTTAATCTTGATATACTGATTGACTCTAATAGAGACTGTTTATATGTAATGTGAATTCCAAAACTAATTTCTGAAAACAGTAATAATATTTACTGCTTTAATTAAGGACTAGGTGTCATATGAAAGTCCTGTTTGGTCCCTGTGTTGATCTATAAGCTATGTTATCCCTGAGCAAAAGGCTGTGTTTGTGAGAAATGACTCAGGGTACACATAATAAGTGTGGAGAATATTACCAATGGATAAAAATAAATGATCATTGTTGTTAGAAAATGAGTCAGAGACCACACTAATCTTCATTTCCGAAGGTCAACCATTCATGCATTTGTAAACTGCACTTTATCAGAACTTTATTATTGTAGCCCAGATATTTTTTACTAGAGAAGTAAATTTTGGGAAGGGAAAAGTACAGAAAGAAGTTTCTAGAAAGAATTACAAGACTGAATTTTAAAAACTTGGAGATCTGTCCAGTTGTATCTGGGTTGTACCAAAGAACCCATGAGGCTGATCAACTACTAAGATAATTACCTTTCTCTATTACTGATTTTATCATAGTCTTCGGTACTTCCTACATGTAGGTATCGGACATATCCTTGATTTCAATTAAAGGAAAGAAAGAACACAGTGAGAGCCAGCTTCTAATTAAGTCACGAGTGAGCTACTTGGTGGGCGTTAATTATTCTCAGAGAAGGGTTCGATAGGTCCTTCATCATGTGATCTACAAGAATGAAACCAGAAGAACCCCCCCCACGCCCCACTGGTGATACTGCTCCTTCTCTTGTCATGAGCTAACCCCCCCAATATCATCTTGCCATTCAGAAATTATGGATTCTTAAGAAGTATAAAACAAAGAAATAATTTCCTTGTTTTAGTGGATCTTTCATAGAAGGAAATGAAGAAACCAAAAAGTGTATAGCCTCTCAAAAAGCCAACTCATCTACACAGATTCCTGTTTCTATACTTGGAAGAAAGGGGCGTCTCTATATTATAACAAAATACTTTGACCAGGACAAAGAGTAAAACCGTGGGGCTGATTGGCTGCTTTGAAATATCAGAAGCAAAGAATGTGGCCCATTCAGTACCTTTCTGCTTAGATACACAGGTACTGACCAGGGTCAGCAAAAGTGTGTAAACACATGGGTATGGTAATTCCTTGCGCACTCAGGCACATAATTCTGTGACTGTGGTTGCACAGAATCTTTCTAATGCAAAGTTTCCCAGTTGATTAATTGGATCAATTAATATTCAAATTAGAGTTCACCTAATCCCAGGTTTACAGAGTCTCCTAGGAAAATGTTCTTATTGTTAGCCAAAGGCTGACTCAGTAGATGACAGATTTTCTCCTTGTGACTCACTTGTAAATAAAACAGAAAGGTCTTTGTAGTCACCTGAGAGACAGGCCTTAATTTTTTTTCTGTTCAGTTCTCCCCAACATTAATATTGGGATTCTTGATTGATTCCCTTTATATTAATATACAGTCTTGTTCATTAGAACCATTGGAGCTATTGTAAGACATTTAAATGCTTAGGCCAGTGGATGGATGCTTTTCCTTTTACGAACTTGCAACCCTACTCATAAACAAGTAATGTATGCTCATTCTTCTGAAAATGATAAAAAGAATCATAGGCTTAGCAACAAGTGAACCCCAACTCTTCCAAAAGGCAAATACTTTCTGAACATCAAGAAATATCAAAATTAGGAAATGAAACCTTTTGTATGTACATGTGCAAAACACATTGTCAAAATACCAACAAAGAATAACTAAATGCAACCTTAATTATCTGGAGTCGTTTAATTACATATTTTGGTACTTAGAGACAAATCAGTTCTTCACAACTGTGCTCATCAAGAACTCCAACTTTAATATTGAAATGTTCCTGATAATTTCTGTTTTTCTAGGTTCTCTGAGTTTATTCAGTGGCTAAGTGGGTATTAAATGACATCCTGAAGAAATCACAGCCAAATGGATAGAAAAGCAGGATGGAAATTTTGTCAAGGAGAGGCCCAGCCAGAGCCAAGTAGACCTGAATACTGGGCTGTCCTCAAATCTCAGTGCTACCTTTTCCTTGACTAAGAAGATGCATTACAAAACAAAGCTTTTCACTATGGACCGTCTGGTTATACTTTATACTGACCTTCAGCAAACAAGAAAACACCAACAACTTGTCCCCCAATTCCTCATACTAATAATAAATTGCAAACTGAACTACAGGCCACGGATTGCAAAGACAGGCTGTGAGGGCAGAGAGAAGCTCTGCTATGCTTAAGGACTGGTGGTGTACTTCACACTGTAACAGCGACCTCTAGCGCTTACTTTCTGCTGTACTCCAACCGCTGGAAGAGGAATTAACTTGTGCCTTTCCTACAAAACTTCATTTGGATGGGTGGGTGGATGGGGGTCTGTACTGTAGTCGCTGCTGTTTATTTGTTGCAACGTTTGTTAACCGCAACTGCTACGGGACCCCAAGATTTTGACTGGGTGGAAACACGTAAATTTTATTGATTTATGGGATTCTCACACACCCGATTTAAAATTGAATGGGAAGCATACAGTCCCTGGAGTGAAGTTCTTTCTTCTACAGAGTGACAGATGCACTGTGACATTCAATAAACTTCTGAAAATGGAAACAGAAAATCACAGAGGCTGTGTAGTGTGAACAAACACTGGGGTTGTGACAATGAGTTTGCAATGTTTTTCCCACATGAGGCTCCTTCACGCTAGTCAAATGAGGCCAGAGAAAACACAGGGTTTCTGCTTTTAACCTTCCAAACCTAAACCTGGCAATACAGCAGCAGAATTTATTCCAGAACAGGCCTCGCTGGCTCTCTTTTATAATGGGAAGCAAATGAGCTTTTCTTTAAAATCTGAGAAATAAATAAAAAGTTGTATTTGCTGAGCTGTGTATCATGCATTGTGAAAGGGATATTCTCTCATTTACAGACTTTGAGCCAAACACAACTTTTACAACTTTATTTACAATAAGTGGATGAAAGGCACTTGTCAACTTATTTTGGATGGTATTTAAATAAACAATAAGACTGTAAGTGTTCCCTGAATCAATTAATTCAGAATCAAGACAGTTGATCACCAATATAAGAAGTCAAAAATTCAATCACTAAAAATTGGTGGTGGGTTGGGGAAGCACCTGGATGTTTTCCTTTAAGCCAGATAGATACAGGGATGGGTCCTTATACAGGAGGGCTCTACATCTCATTCTTTTGAGGACAGAGCTCTCAATCTGGCGTTCTGCCTCCACCAGCTCTGCCTGCTCGTGAAGTCTGCAGCACATTTCAATTATTAGCCTGCATCATTTTAGAGATGCAGTCAGCTACTGCCAAATCACAAACTTCAGAAACCTCAGCTAATGCAGTAGAATGTAAACTCTGCGGGCTGTTTTCCCATTAGACAAATAATCCAAATAAAATTCAATAAGCGCCAAAGAAAGGAAGAAAGGAAGGCACATGCAGGCTGTTCCCTGCTTAAGATGCTAATTTAATGTTTTACTAGAACTTGAGTATTCTCAATGAATATTCAAAGAGTGTAAGATTCTGCTCTGAGAAGAAATCAAGATAACATTTTGCATATTTTGGCCAGACCAACAGGAAAGACAAGTGGATCCCAGTCCTGTCTGTAAAATCCTCAAGTGATGCTTGGTTAAACAGCAAGATGCTTCACAGCAATTCCAGTGGCAAATATCAATTCAAAAAAACAACAGAATCAAAGTTTCTCACGCAGCCCCCCTGCAAGTTTTAAATGATTTGCTGTATACTTACAGGAATTCCCAGCTTCTACTCTGCTCCAGCTCTGAGCAGATAACAGAAGTAACGTCTTGAGGACAGCCCCAGTGACAGATCCCATCTTCACAACCTTTGAGCTCCCCAGATCTCCAGTGGCTGGATCTCGGGGCGCTGGAGTCGTCCTCAGTCTTTCACCCAGCTCTGACTGTGTCTTCAGTATCTCTAGGTCTCTGGCTCTCTCCTCCCTTCCTCCCTCCCTCCCTCCTCCTCTCACGCGCCTCTCTCTCTCTCTCCCTCTCTCTCTCTCTCTCCCTCCCTCCCTTCCTCTCCCTCTCCCTCTCCTTCTCCCTCTCCCTCTCTCTCTCAGCGCTGGCTTCTCACTGAAAAGCAACCAACATCTTTCCTAACAAGCATCCACAAGGCCACCGAAGCCACGCCCACTCCTCGCAGCAGCGGTCCCAGAAATTGGCCTCAGCATCCTTCCTCCAAAAAGCACAGCAGCAGCAGCAGCAGCAGCAGCGCTGGGAGCTCAGAGGCGCGCTGCAGGTGATGGAAGCTGGACCCAGAGATGCGGCCCCCTGCTCCTGGGTCTCCTCGGGGCTCCCTCCCCTCCCCTCTATTCTCCAATAATCCTTAACCCTTTTTATACCCTGCCAGCCATGGGGGTTGGGAAGCAGCCAGGCTGTGAAGCCCTCTGATTTTCTGCAGGTCTTGCGTTTGGCAGTGCGAGCCAACATACTGAGCTGTTTCCTGATTACCCGGGAGTGTATCCAGGTAAAACTGCATTATGTTTCAAAACAAAAGCATAAAGTAAGACAGAAATAAGGAAGCAAGCACTGGTAAATTGTAGCTAAAACTGTCCTCAGGGAAAATACTTGCTTGCTACTGTTTTTCTCTGTTTCTGTAAAACTATGGTCTTCTGCTCTGGTGCCAGGGTTTTATTATGGAAATTTCTCACGTGGGAACAGACATTCCTGCTTGGCAGATATTTAAAAATCATCTGGTAATAGTCTGCAAGAAATTAACATTTCTTATTTTAGTTAGTGCTTCAGGAGTACAAATCCACCAGCGAAATGCTCTGGTAGATGTATTTTGATGAACGCATCCTTCTGTGAGTAGGGCAGCAGCATTCCACAACCACATTCTTTAATAGCAATTCCCAGAGGGCCCAAAATGGAAAGTGATGGAACACAGAAGAAAGGGGACCCCCTCCCATATACAGAGAGATGGGGGAGAGAGAGAGAGAGAGAGAGAGAGAGAGAGAGAGAGAGGTTGAATGAAGCAAAAACTACAGAGAAATTCCTCTACCAATGGCTACTCGGTGGTGGATGCTCTTGCTTAAGTAGAATATTGAAATATTTAAATGACGAAGTTAGGACCCCACAGTGAGCAACACAATACCTGATGTCAGAGAGAGCAAAGTGTCTCTTTAAAAGAAATGTCAAGATGCCCTGCTGTTGATTTGCTAGGTTTTGCAAGGCAAGGAAGGAGCTCTCCTTCAATCTCTTGGTGATTGGGAACTAGGAGAGACAAGCCTTTCCCAACAGCAGACTTCCTGAGAAGTGAAGGAAAGAGGGGGTAGCTATGGGGGTGAGACAAACATCTGTAAAGGCAAAGCCTAATTGTCCAGTTCTTGTCTGCAAAGAACGCAGAATGGATATTTTTGCTTTTCCTATTTTACAGATGAAAAACCAAGAACAGGAAACTGAAATGATTTGCGGCGTTGTAGAGTTGGGAAGGAAAGCGGACAAAGGCTGGACTTTGGTTTCTGGCTCTGGTTTCACTGATGTCAGCCTAGGACATGCTGTCCTAACATCAGAGTTCACACCTCCCTGGACCCCTGCGAAAACCCTGAGTCCCTACCACCAGGGACTTTTCAGCCATAATATGTTAAGCAAAAGCAGATAGGTATTGGCAATTTATGCCAGTAATTATTGAGGGAGGGTTAATTTTATTGAGCACATTCTACGTGCCACCTGTTATCTAATTACACTGTTAGAGCAATCCTTTGAGGATAGTGTCATTGTGCCTACAGAATGAAGAAACTAGACCTCGGTAAAAGTGAGCAGCATATCCAGACCACTACTGGGAGTGGGAAGGGCTGAGGATGCAGCTCAGGTGAGAGTGCTTGCCTAGGATGACGTCCTAAATTTGATCCCCAGCACTGCATAAACCTGGCATGGGGCTGTGCGCTTGTAATCTCGGCATTTGGGAGAAGGAGGCAAGAGGATCAGAAATTCAAGGTAATTCTCAGCTATGCCGCAAGTCTGCTGCCAGCGTGGGTTGCATGAGCCCCTGTCTCAACAAACAAGGAAGGAACTTGGGCTTGACACCCTGGTCTGAGGGACTGTAGAATTGTTGCTCTGAGAAGCTACAAATCTGTGGGCTCTCTAGAAGGAAATGTTCATCTTCCTATTAGAACTATTCATTGTTTCCATAAAGCAAAGGAGAGAATACATATATATATTATAATTTTCCTCATTTAATCTTAGAAGGCATAATGAGAAGACAACTTTTAGGCTAGGACTCAAGGGAAGAGGAAGACTTAGTTATTTAAAAACAAAACGAACAGATAATACTGGCTAAAAGTCACAAAGATATCAGCAATGACAGGTAACACTAATGATAGTAATAGAGATTCATAACTTGCATTTAATAAAAATTTTAGACACTCTATTATAAGCATTACATATATTATCTCATTTTTTAAATATTTTTAAAATTTTTTTAGAAGAAGCATTTCATTACAGCTTTAATATTTTATTTTTATTATTTTTATTTTATTATGTGTGTATGAGTATATTGCCTGCATGCATGTAAGTGTACCCATGCCATGCAATGCCAGTGGAGGTCAGAACAGGGTGTCAGATCCCCTGGAAATGGAGTTACAGGCACTTGTTAGCCACCATGTGGGTGCTGAGAATCGAATCCATGGCCTCTGCTAGAGCAGTCAATGCTCTTAAACCGCTGAGCCATCTCTCCAGTCCTGGGAATATGTTTTTAAAAGATCAGTATTGGATCAAAAATGGAAAAATAATTCTATATTCTTTGATGGTTGAAAACTTAGGATAACCTGGGCCAAGTGGGACAGGCCCACAATCCCAACTACTCCAGAGACTGAGGGGGAAGTTCTTCAAATTCAAGGTTTGTCTAGGTAACATAGCAAGTTCAAAGACAGTCTGGGTAACCTAGCAAGATCTTGTCTCAAAATAAAAGTAGGGCCTGTGAGATGGTTCAGTGCCACTACCAAGCCCGGAGACTTAAATTCAGTCCCAAGAGTCCTCATGGTGAAAGAAGGAAACTGTCCTCTGATCTCTAGACACGTGCCATGACAGGTCTATCTGTGCCCCACCCCCGTGTATATACAATAAACAAATAAATGTAAAGAATGTTTTAATCCCCAGACAATGGGGATGCAGCTTAGTGGTAACGTATTTGCCTAGTATGTAGGACACCCTAGGTTTAAGTCTCAGTTTTAAAAGAAAAAACAAAATTAAAAATAAGCAATAAGACAAAGTGCAAATTATCTTAGGGGCTATTCAAGTGGGATTTTTCCATGTTGGTGGAATGTAATAAGAGGATGCCTTGAAGGCTGGTGCTGACTGAAAGACATGATCATTCCAGGTCTCTGCACACCCCATCCCTGACTACTGACCACAGAGGGGAAGAGCTTAGACACCACGGTAAACAGAGAAACCCAAATGTGAATACAGATCCTACTTTCACCCTGATTAAGTGGCTCAGTGACCCCAAGCTTGGGTTTCCTCGTTTGAATAAAACACGAAACTGGAAAGCACAGAATGCTGTGAATTCTGGTTGTACAACAACAGGAAGTACAATGTGAACTGCATGGGAGACATTCACTGGACAATGAGTGACCCCGTGTGGCAGAAGATCAATGCGGCTGTTGGAACCTCAACATTTCCAAGGCTCCTGCTTCACAGTGAACAGAGGAGATCTGGCTCCTCCGGTGGAACAGAGGAGGACACAACCCACTGGTGGCAGAAAAGGATTGGTCACCAAGACCCACTGACTTGTTCTCCATTTCTTCCTCTCTACCAGGATGGTCAGAATGGCATGTGTCTATAGTCCCAGCACTGAGGAGGATCAGAAGGTCAAGCTACATCAGAAATTCAAGTCTAGGCTGGGCTACATGAGACCCTGTCTCAAAAAACAAACAAGCAAATGAATAAATAGGGAAATCATAAACATGCAATGACTTCAGTGTGCAAGGTGTTTGTGTGTGCTTCTTCATGTGTGTGCCTGTGAAGAACATGTGTACACATGCATGTGGAGGCCAGAGGTCAACCTCAGGTGCTGTTCCTGAGAACCACCTTGTGGTATTTTTAAGGCAGTCTCTCACTGGGACCTGGGCTCCCCAGTTCACCTGCCTCTAAGTTCACATGTCTCTCCCCAGTCCTGAGATACGAGTGCACAGCACCATTCCATCTTTCTGTAGGAGTGCTGGATCAAATTCAAGTCCTCATGTCTGTGCTGCTTCCCTTGACGATGGACCGCAGCCTTTAATCAAATAAACTCCTCCCCAAGTTGCTGTTTCCCGGTGGTGTTCTATCACAGGGAGAAAGTAACTGGAACATGGGCCTGGACACGATGGTGATCTAAGCTCGGGTCCTCATGCTTGTGTAGCGGGTATTTTACCAACTAAGCCATCTCCCTGGCCCCTCTCGTTCACTTGTACATAATGATCATTTTCTCTTGATTCAAGCTGCTTTCCTTGTCTGTGATTTTAGCAGTTTCATTACTGTGCATCTTGGCTCGTTCCCCTCAGGGAATGATGGAGTTCTTTGAGCTTCTTGAACTTGTGGTCCATTCCTCATCTCGGATTTAGGGAGTCTGGAGCATTTATTTCTTCACACAACCTCCTAGTCGCTTTCTCTCTTTCCCTTCTGGAGTGCCCATGATCTGTGTCATTTAGGTCGTCTTTGTCCTTTGGGTTTTCCTTTTTCGGCCCTCTGCCACAAGTATTTTGAATGTCCAGTCTTCACAATCACTAATTCTGTCTTCCGCTTGTCATTTCCGACGGTCTGACGCCGAGTCCCGCTGTGAGTTTCTGAATTCAGTGTTCACGCTCTTTCACTCTGGCCTCTCTTTGTCTCTTCTTTGTGGTTTCTACCCTTGTTGGCATTCTGATTTAGTTATCTATTGTCTTGATTTGGTTTTGTTGTTCAAACTTCTTTTAATTCACTAGCATCCGCACTAAGGTTATTTTGAGTTATCTGGTAATTTACATATTTTCCTTTTTATTTTTACTTTTAGTTTTGTTTTGTTTTGTTTTTTTCTTGAGACAGGGTCTCCCTGTAGCCCTGCTAGCCTGTAATTTGCTATGTAGACCAGGCTAGCCTCGATCTACAGACATCCACCTGCCTCTGTCTCAGAGAGTTGGAATTAAAGATGTGTGCAACCACGCACAGAATATTTTCATTTCTTAAAGGTTGATGTCTGGAAATTTAATATGCTGTTTGGATTGCACCATGTTCCCGTGTTTCTTTGTAAGCCTTTCTCTCTCCTACTGGTACAAAAGTATTTGAAAATCAGCCATGTCTCCTGTCTTTTGATTTCGTTTTGTTTCACTAGTCATTTGAGCTGGAGATTATAGAAATCTCTCAGGCCTTTTATGATACCCTCCCCCTCTTTGGGAGGCTTGAATGTGTCATCTAATTAGAGAAGGCTTGCCAGCTCCTATTAGAGTAGGTCTCCCTGGGGTCTAGCTGGAGTACTGTAGACAGACTCTAGTGTCCTTGTAAGTAGATCATTTTCTTCTCATCAGCTCTAAACTAGTTCCCTATCCTTCTCAGTGCTTAGATTCAGGAAAGAGACAATCCATGTCCCTGTAGCTAGAATGTTGAATATAAATTTCATTCTTCTTTTACTCTCCCCAGGTAGAGACTGGGAATTGAGAGAGGCTCAGTGGTTAAGAGCATAGCTGCTCTTGCAGAGGATCTGGATTCAGTTCCCAGCACCCACATGGCAGCTATCGACTGTCCCTAACTCCAGTCCCAGGGGATCCAGTGTCGTCTTCTGGCCTCCACAAGCAATGCATGTACTGGTGCATTTACACACATGCAGACAAGACACAGACATAAAATAAGTAAAAATTTTAAAAATATTTTAAAAACAAATAATTTTCTCCTGATCACACAACATTATACTCAGAGAAATGCCATGAATTTAACTACATTTGACTCCTGTTCAGTTGGCTCCACACTTGCCCAAGATGCAAGAACATCTTACCTACTCCTTAGCCACTTCATCAAGGAAATTGAGCATCTGGTATTATATTATCAAGTTGATGTCTCTGTGGGAGGAAGAGGGTCTAAGGCTTTCCATGGAGAGATGGCAGCAGGCCCCAGCCTTAGCCGAAGAACTGTTGGCAACTGATTCCTGCTGCGTGACGAAGAGCTGCTCTTCTTAAAGGAAGGGACTCCAGATAGGCTGACTGGACCCAGTGGATGAACTTGCCCTGAGAGATGCCTAGGCATGCTAATTTGACTTGATAGGCCTTAACACAAATAACAGAATGCATGAAATTCATTTGGGGGGGGACTATGAGGAAGGGGGTATAAAGACGATTAAAATGCTCTGTATGAAATACACCAAAATTCCATTTAAAAAATTTACAAAAAATTAAAGATAATTAAAAGATCTAGCAATTCTACTTTTGGGTTTACCACCCTCCCCCCCCCAAAAAAAATCAAAAGGGATGCAAGATCTCAAAGAGGTGTTTGTGTATTCATGTTGATAACAACATATTCACAATAGCTAAAAAAGAGAAGCAAGTCAGGTATTCGTCAACAGATGAATGCATAAGGAAAATGTGGGGTGTACATACAGGTGACTGTTCACTCTTAAAAACAAAACGCATTCTGATATACATATATATGACATATATACATATACATGTGTATATCATCATGGATTAACCTTGAGGATACCGTGCTAAAAGTGAAATAAGCCATTCACAAAAGAGTACGTGCTGTGCTGTTCCACTTAAAGATAGTACCTAGAAGTAGGCAGAATCATAAAGACAAAAGATAGGTGCTGGTTACCAGAGGATAAGAAGAGGAGTAAGGAGGAGTTACTGTTTAATGGAAAAGAGCTTTGGTTTTGCAAAATGAAGAATTCTAGAGAACCATAGTGGTAATTATTGCAAAAGAGTAGAAATATATTTTATATTACTTAGCTGTAAACTTTAAAATGTTTTAAATGACAAATTTTATGTTTTATATATATCTTATCAAGATAAAAACATTGAAGAAAATTTTTGAAAAATAAAATA